ATTTGGCTGAATATCCTTGGTTTTCGATTACAACCCGTATTGGGTTATAAGTTATTTTGAAAAAGTAATAAATTAAAAATTACTGATTACTACTGGATAATTGTAATCTAATTACTCATTACTTGGTGTAAAACATAATCAGATTACTAAGTACTTTGCTTGAAGTTACTTTTAAAACATAAAATGTGCCTAAAAAAAGGTAAAATAAACTGCAGCTCTTTCAGTAATGCAATATTCACTGAAAAACATTACAATGGGTTAATCACAGCAGTTTGACATATTCAAAATACTTAGAGTTTGCCTAAAGCTTAATTCTCTCATAATTTACTTCTTCCAAACCTGCTCGTCTTTTTTTTTTTTTTTTTTTACATTAAAGAAGACATGACGAAAACTAAATATCTGTAACCACTGACGTCCATAATATGCAAAAGCACTGCAGTCTTTGGGTGTTCTGTGTATATCTGAGCTATTTAGTCTACCTAAATGTGTATATTCCATAGTATGAAACTGATCAGTCAGTTCTTGTCACATGACTCACTGCTTTCAACTGGGTGCACCTGGGAAATATACATGCATGCAAAATACACAATATGTGAATGGTCCCATAAGCAGCTACGCTTCTCTTGAAATTCAGAAGATACCTTTACTCCCGATCCTGCACAAAAATAAAATATAGCCTGTTTAGGGTGAGTTGGGCCATCATGTTTTTTAAGCGCCAGTGTCCTCTTTGTTGACGAGTTTTGTCCAAGTTTATATTCAAGTGCTTGAGCAAGTTGCTGGACAAGTTTAAAGCAGTTGAAAGTTCTTTAGAGACTGGACATAGACTGGATTGCACAGCAATATTTTTGTTTTTATGTTCAATGAAATCAAAGCATTGTCTGTATTTCCACTTGCAGAAGCAGCCAATCCCAACAGCAACCATTTCAGCTCATGTTCTCGCATGCTCATTAACTGATGTTGCAGTGAAAAATGTGATTTAAAATAAGCATTTTTTTTCTTGCAAAAATTATATTTGTTGCATAACTTACACAAATACACTGACTTTAGTAACTGTGATCAAATTACACAAATTTAAAATTTTATTTGTTACATTACAGCGTTCTTCAAAAATGTAACTTGAATACAGTAACACGTTAATGTGGAATTAAACCCAACTCTGATTACAACAAATGGAAAGCTAATTGGTCATTTTGTTTAGAGTACCTATAAATCCTGCAAATATTAGTAAAGAATTGTTATGGATTTGCACAAACCCTTAAGCATTGGTAAGCATGAGACGTATGTCACGCAGTACAGAAAGTTACAGATACCTTTTGTTATTCCAACCCAAGGATATTCTGAATATATAAAGACAGTTATAGCCCAGCCATCATGCGGTTCCTCTCATAGCGAGACGGAGAGCAGCTCAGCCTGTGGTTCAGTGAATTTGAGATGGCTGTCTGCAGCAGGTCTGGAAAGAGCCAGGGGCAACTACACTTACTACAGACAGTAATGAGGGAAGTAATAACCTCTCTCGCACACACACCCCATTACTTCTATCAGGCAGGTATAAGCACACCAGTCATATATCTGGTCCCTCGGATTCCCTCATCTGAACTATAGAGGCAGATGAACCGAGTGATCTTTAGTTGGATTCAGATCAAGACAAATTCAAGTATGACGACCTGCCTGAGAATAAAGAGTCGAATTGCTTCAACCTGAGCTCCTCAGAAGTGTTTGGGGAGAAAGACTTGCTCTTATCCTCCAATTTGAAAGGGAGCAAAAATGTGAGTTTGCATCAATTGAAAGAGCGGTTAGATCTCACGTCTACTTTGAGGCACGCAAACACACCACTTTCTTATTGAACGTTTTAGTCACACAAATGATGGTACCAGAATACACAAGGTCAGCTGCCAGTCAACATCAAGGCCGCTTTTATTGCCACACAAACCCGTCATGTTGTTCTAAACCACCGCCTACGTTTAACCGACTGCTTAAGACCTAATGCTAACACCTGCTGATCGCACCAGAGTAAATCGCTGCGTTGTCTGCCATGTTTACAAGATCTGCAGACTCAACACGTACTGTGTCTCCCCATCGCAGCCCCCTACTTGCCTATAGTAATGGCTCATTTATTTTCCTGTTGCTATATAAACCAGCGCTGCCGCCCGTGTCGGAGTTTCTTGACAGAGCAGAATTGGGACTCAGTCACAAAGATGCCCTGTTTATTCCTCCAAGACTGCCTATTAGTGCAGCTTGCCTGCTGGGGAAGCCACATCCTGGGACGACAACATTAAACACATTCGTACCAGGGAAGAAACCGCTAATACTCGCTCCATACTCCCCTACATACTTCTCTGTCGGCATTAATTCATCCTCCCGTCTACACGGGTGTCTTTGACAGCCCACCATGTGCTCCATCGCCCTCTTCTTTTTCCTCTGTCTCGTTTGGCAGGTTGTTGTTTTCAGAACACACAGATGGAAAAACGCCTTCAAAGGACAAAGAAACACATGGATGACTTAGATGAGAGAGAAAAAAACATGGCTGAAAAAAAAAATATAAAAATAAAATGAACCTAAGTAGAATGACAAGAATAAGAATGATGTGGTATATACGAAAGTGGAAAGCGGTAGTGTGGCACACTTTCCATTCTTTTGCCCAAGGGGCGCTGTGCAGGTAACAGATTGACAATCTTCACTTCGTCTGTCTAATGCTTGAGAGTAGAAAGTAAGAAAGTAGTCACAAAGACCCACCAGCTTGGCAGCTTGCACAGAAATTGAATTTTGTGCATGAACCTCATGAATAAATTCACCTAAGCCTGGTTTTGTAGGTAGAACGAAATTGTAAGACATTCCACCTGATTGTTGTCAGTATCTGATCTGTTTCCTCTTCATAATGGTGTTTTATTTCATTCTTGCATGTTTGTTTAAAGGCAAATTCAAATAGCAGAATCACAAAGTACAAGAATTAGGTAATACAAATGTACCATGTGTTTGCAAATGTTACTGTAACATCTATTAGTCCAATGACGGAACTAACAGCATGGATAAAGGTTAAATGTGTGTAAGCCTTAGCACATTTAAGAAAAAAATGTTGAAATTTATTATAATTTGTTTTTAAGTCTTAATTCAATCTGACTCGAATTTATAAGAATTAAAATTTAAATTCATCCAATTCAAGCTGATTACCTTATAGATTGTGATTTGGTCTAATTTAGATTGATTACCCTAATAAATCCTTATCTTCAGTTAATGGTTCATCGTTTACCCGAAGTCGCTTAGAGTCAGTATGCTGGCCAGTTCATCTGCTCACAGAAACATCCTCACCAGTTCTAGTTCTTACATTGAGCATATAACTGTAAACTAATTTCCTTTAAGTATTATTAGGCTGCTCCATGCTTGCTCATACATAAAGAAAGTTTGATTTATCCACTAGTTTATATCATACTAATTCAGTGATTGTCAGAAATCAACAGGTCTCTAATGCTGTGCCTATGCTTCATCCATTGAGTCTGAATGTATAAACAAATCCTGGTTGTAGGTTGCGGAAACATCAGTCTAAACAATCTACTAGTTACAAAGGTTTTAGGTTTTCTCCTGTTCTTGCGCTCTGATTAGGCACGCTGAGTTATGATCGGTTCAAACAGCATACTGCGGGAGAAGTATTAGTCGGCCTGGAGAGTGCAAAAAATCGAGTAAGGCGATTTAGAAATTGTACATGTCTATATGATTTCAATTAATCGCACTGCCCTAATTCACCGTCTGTGTATAAAATTGCACTGTGAATTAAGAAGTGAGTGTCTGTTGTCTAAAAAAGTCTGTTTTGGCACAACATCTTTTATTTCTAATGATTTTTCTAATGATTAATGCTTTCTCTATGTAAAATAAATATTGCATATTGAATATGATTTTTAATATTCATTTTAAAGTAAGTTTGTTTTTCAAAATAATGCAGTTTACACTGAAAGATACAGTGATTGTAATGTAAATAGGAACTAAATGGGTGACAGTACCATAGGGAATGCTTTGTAGAAACTTTAGTAAAAGTTTTGATCAGTTTCACTAATACTATTACTGGTAATCGTTTTTAAATGAGACCTTTCTTTTTCAGTTTATTGTGTGAAACATTTGATTGGATTCTGATTCCGAGTCCCTGTAGTTTTAAATCGCTTAATCATTTAATCCGTTTTTAATCAAACTGCCTTGAAGTGTCTTTTTAACCTATGTGCTGATTACATATGTTGGTCAACTTTTGTCATCTAATAAGCTCGCTAATTCCCGCGGATGTTCCCTAAAGCTTGTTTACATAACATGATTGTTGCTCTTCATAAAAGAGTTGTGTAAGAACACATAGCAGCCATATTTGTTGCTGAATGTGACCAACATTTGTATTCTGCTGCTGCTGAATACCTGAAACTTAACAATAGGTTTCTCTTCATATCAGGACGAAAATAAAAATATTTTAATAAGCACTTTTCTGCTGTTGTTTTTATATTGTGTGGGAGCGTTTCCCATTAATCTGTGTGTACTGTAGAATTAGCATGAGGCAGCTCCTGCTGACTTGTCTAGCTGGTAGCTCTGTGTCAGTCAGTGCTGTGGGTGGGCAGTCTGCTGATTTACAGAGGAAGTGAGTCTGCAGTTATGGAGTGTTAGTAATCATTCTCACCTGCTGGAGACTGGGATGCAGCTGGGAGCGCAGGGGCACTGCCTCATCCACAAATCAGGTGTTGGTAACTACTTCCCCCTCCTACTATTATCTGGATGTCGTCTGATGATGAGGACAGACACGGTTCAAAATTTCCTCTAACAATTCCTATGCGTTTGCTTATTTACCATCAGCAGAAATATAAAGTCAAAGATTGAAAAGTAGAGCAGGGGACATCTTTCTTTTTTACTATGCTCATGAACTCTAGAGATGATCAAGTCTAATACAGATGTTGTAATTAACGAGTGACAGGCCTAACAGAGTGTAAAGCGCAGCGGTGCAGTGGCTGATCCCTTAATGTTTCTTGTTCCCGCAGGGTGGACTGAGGAACAGCAAGCACGAGTGTACGCTCTCGTCACAGGAGTACGTGCACGAGCTGCGCTCAGGAATCTCCGAAGACAAACTGCTCAACTGCCTGGAGTCCCTGCGCGTGTCCTTGACCAGCAACCCGGTCAGGTCAGTCAGTCAGTCATTCTTCACCAACTCTAATCGTTCAAGTCACTCCTTCTGAAACCAGTCTCTGATTAAGTAAGCTGACATATCAACACTCACTTCAGCCACCTCAGACCATCCTCTCACTGTGAAATGGAAATTTAAACCTCATTTTTCTGTCTACACATTGCAATCTTGGAGGATTTCTCTCAGGATGCTAATTGGAAATCTGTCAATGGGTCTTTTAACCTTCAGTCTATGTGGATCCCCGATTCTGGTTAAATGAGCGTAGCCCATAGCATAGCCGGCTAAATGAGTGTATCCTCCAGTCACTTTGAGAGCAGCCCTGTCATCTCCCCCTCTCTATCTATTAAGCTCTAATAGATAGGAAATCCTTTTTTTTAACACTTCAGACAGCCAGCCATTCTCTGAAACGTTAATAAGCGCGCCAACCACCACAAGACCAGGCGCTTGGCTTTCAAGTCCTGCCACTAAAGTGTGCATCCCGCCTGCTTTTTTTAATCTGTTCTGATCACGCCTAATGTAGTACTTAAAATAATTTTGCGCTTTCACGCAGCCTCCCCTTGCACATTTCTGCCAAGCTTTTATTGTTTTACTAGCCCTTCTCGTTCGCTCATAATAAGGCCCGTTTCAGCCTTCTCTCCCACAAAGTCTAACCTCCCCTCTAGTGGACGGGATTTTCAAATTTAATTTGGTCCCAGTAGCGCAGAGGAACGATATGTGACAGCAGACTCTCTCAATTATTTACCAGAGCACTGTCTGAGAGATGGCCCTTAATGTGAATCAATGAGCGCAGCATATAAAGTGGTCATCATGCAATTGGCAGGCAGACCATCTCTTTAGGTCCACGCTTACGCAGTGGGGAAAGAACCCGAGCGGAACCTGCCATTTGATCCGATGGCATTATGTGCCACGGCTCTTCTCAACAGATGTGTTTTGCACTGGAAAGCAATTAATAGACGCCCCTGCCCTTCTCCCCAGATGGCGGTACAGTGCAGCGAGTCAAAGGAACACAAACACCGAAATGACTTTGCTATTGTTTTCCTGTCACAGAACACATAATCTAGAATGTGAGTTGTAGAACACAGCGCCTGAAGGTAATCTCTTGTTATTGCCCTAATTAAATGAAGGGATGGCATCTCGTTTTGTTGTCTTTATCAGATCATCACAGTGCTGCATGGTGGCCCCGTGCATCCAATTATTTACTCCACTGTTAGCCATTAATCATGAGAAGCAGATTCTTCGAGAAGCCCACACTTATCCCCCCATGAAGACAGGTTGTTTGTAAAGATCAGACTCTTTGGCTGAAGACGAGTGGCGTCAGCACATCCCTTCAGTAAAAGGGCAGTTTGCGCTATGGGGCCACCGAGGCCAGGACCACCCTCCGGGCATCTGCAAATGGCTGAACTTGTGAGTGCCCAGTCAGAGAGGGGCGCCGAGCGGTGTCTCACACAACCACTGAAGGTCAGGTCTTGCTCAGAGAGAAGCACCCTGGGGTGACGAGATGCTTGGAGATACTCACCGCACTCTTCTTTTTTTTTTTTGCTTTGTTTTGTTTTTTTCAACAACACTGAGGTGATTCTCACCGGCTTGCATGGGTAACAATTAATATGAGTAGAGCTAATTATTACGGATCACAAAACACAACTGAATACGGTATGTTAATGTAACCTTTATAGTGTTCTTGGTGTATGTTGCTGAGATAGCTGCACAAAAGATAGAAACATAAAAACGATTTTATTTTTTTTAGTGGACAGTTCAGATGCAGTTTCTGCCTTATTTGGTTTGCAAAAACCATCTAAAAGCAATTTGAGGTAGTGTGTTAAGTCCTCAATATACTCACATTTTGTTGTTCTTTTTGGGAGTTTAACAGAACAAAATAAATACTGAACAAATAGAAACAGTGCTGAAAATAACTGTTAATATAACATTTGGTCCTAGCAATGTGGATATGTTTGATGTTAAGCCAGATAATGTTTATGTAAGACCTTATACAATCAGTTGCATAAACATCTTTTTTTATTTGTTTATTCAACTTTTACAGATATAATAATGTAAATTTACAGAGACATTTAAACAAATATTATTCCCACCCCTACCCTGTAAACCAGAGATGCCCCAACTTGGGCAAGCGGGCCAAAGGTGGCCCTTGGTAACCTTTGATTTGGCCCACCATCCTATCTGAGAAGAAAGAGAGAACGATGTGGATGGTTTAGAGATTTATTAGTTTGTTTTATTGTTAAGCTACAAAAAAAAAAAAAAAAGAAAGCTGACTGAAATTTAACGTTTCAATGTAAATGCTGTAATTTAGTTTAAAAAGTGCATACTATTACCTGACAGAAAAGGGCAATGCAGAGACTTTGAGCAAATCAAAGCAAAGAAAGATTCTGCTTGACTAGTGTATTCAGCATTGAACTCCATTATGCTTCAAATTTGATTGTTTGTTTTTATTGCTGTGAGTTATTATTTCAAAAAGTTATACTGCATTAGTTAATGCGATTAAAAGTGATGTTTTTCTATTTATTTTTCAAAATTCTGAAATAAATGAGGAAATTACCCATGGCAGCTTTAATGTAAAATAGTTTGGTATAATTATCTTTGGCCCACATCTATTAATGATACTTGGTTTTTGGCCCTTCGTAGAAGTTTGGGCTCCCCTGCTTTGAACAAAACTAAATTACAATCATCCGTACATACATACATACATACATACATACATTCATATATATTATAAATCAAAAAATTTGGACATGAATCCTCAGGTATTTATACAATTTACTTATTTTTTTCCTAATGGATTAAGCTCATTGCATCTCGCAAACAGTTGTCAAAGCACAGGGGAAATCTTTGTTTTCATAATGAAAGAATAGGTTGCTTTGCTAACAGTGTCAAAAATGCAAGAGCGTGTGCAGTACAACTTGATATCCCTGCTATATTCAGAGAAAGTCCAAAAATTCATTAAGAGGACACAGTTCACTGTGCATCTGTTACAGTACAGAAGAGAAACACTTAAAAAGTAGTGATTGATGGACAAAGTCAAACATAGCAATCTTATATAGGGTGAAAGTCTTTGACTTATTTTTGCCAACCTAACTTTTGCCCAGTATATTCGGTAAACAAAGTTCAATTGGATAAGGCATTGTTGTGCACAAATAGAGGAGGTATGAACACGTGACAAAACCTGGTCCCACATCTCCCAGCTTGAATGCAAGATTGTGATCTGACCTTCACTGTTGTTTAATAAAGGAAAGAGGTACTAGAAAAATAGCAGATCAACCTGTATAAAATTGACAGTATACCTTTTTTATCTAAGGGTACTTAAAAAATTTGGTCAAGTTGAGATTTTGGTGGAAGATTTGGAAAATCTAAAAAATTAGTTTTAAGTTTCTGGAAGTATCTAAAAAAATGGTTGCTATAGGAAGAGAACATGTTTGTGTTAATCGTGAAAAGATTGTTAGTGCATACTTCTTTATGGTATTAAAAAACATTAACGGTTTACATGTTAAAGAAAGTGAAGCCTATCTATTATACATATCTTTGGTAGTTCAAAGTTGTTTAACATCTGGATTGAAAGTTTATGAAAAGTTCACTTGGGCAAGCTATTCTTCCGAAACAAACCTCAAACATACTCGGTTTTTGGCATGGTTTTGTTCAAAGTAACATCACAGCAGTTAGTTCTTTTTTGCTTGAAGTGTATCAGAGCATTTACATAATGTAAAAGTAGTTTCTTTAGATCAAAAAATCAAAGAATGGCTAGACTTTCTCAGTCCCACACAGATGAGAGAAAGTAAGGTGTCTGAAGTTTAATTCCTGTGGGACCCAATTCATTTTTCCAGCTCATTTCTTCATGCTGGTCATTTATTTATTTATTTTAATTTTTTCAAACTGGACTTTTGTGTAAGATTGGAGTGTCACGCACAGCACGTGTTAAATGGGAAATTAATTTGTGGTGAAAATGACCCCAAGTTCCTTTAATTTGCTAAGGTGCAATTATAGATGAGTGCCTTCATACCTTATCTCTGTAAGAAATATGTCAGGGTGTGGATTTCATTTCTCACAAGTGATGGTTCCTGCAATGTGTTCTCTTCCTTGATAATCAAACAGTGCACTCAGGAGCATAGCAATGGCTTTGGTTTACTCATGTGTGTAAAATGGTAGACTTAACATACATTACCTGTCTTACCCATGATGGAGCATTAATAACAGTCTGCTTTTATTTTTCTGACAGGATCATCTATTAATGCATGGATTATCCTGCATGCCATGTCCTGTTTTGACTGTTCTAGATTCCCATATCATTATTTTAATTTGTGTCATAGTATAAACATCCCGAATGGGGAAAAAATCAAGAGGCAATTATTTTTAATGTGGGTCTTAAAAAACTAATGGAAGTATGCTCAAAGAATTTCTTTCTTTCTTTCTTTCTTTCTTTCTTTCTTTCTTTCTTTCTTTCTTTCTTTCTTTCTTTCTTTCTTTCACATAAACAAACCTTGCACACTGAGTCTGATGCAAATTAATCAATCCATCAGGAAAAATGCTAATTTTTTTCATTTTAAGCTGTGAAATTGTTCTCCTCTGTCTTCTCTAAAGTAGAAAAAGCAAGAGGAATAGGCTACATATTGTGTTTATTTAATACTAGTCTACATATATATATATTTTGACATGTAGAGAGTAAGGAGAGATCTCCTCCTTATCAGAGCTGCGCTACAAGTAACCCGAAATGCAAAGTTTATTTCAGGAAATCAGTGGATTTCTGATGTGATACTTCACACATTCAGGTACGTAAACTGATCCTGAACAGAAACTGGCAGTACCTATAGACTAGGGGTGTCCAACCTCGGTCCCGGAGGGCTGATGTCCTGCAGATTTTAGCTCCAACTTGCCTCAGCACATCTGCATGGGTGTTTCTAGAAAGCTTAGTAAGAGCATGATTAGCTAATCCAAGTGTGTCTGATTGGGCTTGGAACTAAACTTTGCAGGACACCGGCCCTTCAGGACCGAGTTTGGGCACCCCTACTATAGACATAATAATAAATGGCGGCCAATAGATAGAAAGCAGACAATAGATAATGTCTGTGGGCAGTGCGTCAAATGTATGGACACCCCAAACAGCAGCAGGGCAGAGATGCGCCAGTCACTGAATCCAGCATATAGAGGTTCTTAACTGTCCACTACATTCTGTCTTTATTTTATGCACTGTGTTTGTTAAAGTTATCTGTAGCTCAAATGATGGCATTCTGTATTTAGCTTGTCTCTTGTACGGTGGCTCTGA